GGCTCTGATTAAACAACAACTTCCGATTTGATGTGCAAAATGTAGCATCCATGCTAGCTCTGTAAAGAAACAAGCCGGCTGATGAGATGTCATGTCTTTTACTGCGCATGCGTGTCACATCAGTGCTGTGTAGCGTTCACACAGGGGTCTGATGCAGGTCACATTTAAAATGTAATGTGAACGTTCACACAAAAGATCGGATTTTTTCAAAAAATTGGAACTGAGCATTAAGACCTGCAGTGTGAACGTAGCCAGTCTGTTTGTAACGGTTTGAGCAAATTAACTCATGTCAAACCAATAAACGTCACTTACTGACATCTTTCCTGTCTTCCGTCTGCTCCAGGTCTGATGTGGAGGCTGGAGGAATTGGAGACAGCAAACCAAACCATCTGGGTTCGTCTGGTTGAAGGTTCATCTTTTTATTTGTCCTCGATCCACTTTCGATTCTCCTGCTCGCAGTTCCTCCTCAGATGTGCTTGTAGGTCTGACATTAAAAGGCAGAAGAAAAAAAAACATCACAGTTCTGAGAAAACTAAACCAAAGAAAGTGATCTCCACTTTGCTCCTGAACCCGAATATATATGTTTTCTATGTATTTGTATTATTATTATTATTATTATTATTGTTGTTTTTAAAAGTCATGAATGCACTTTTAACCTGGTAAATCTAGATCCTGTTTGTTTCATTTAAGAAACATCAGCAGGTTGACATCTGTTCTTTCAGTTGCAGAGCTGGAGATGTTTGTTCGTGCTTTCATTTCCTCTCAGGTTGAATACCGTAACACTCTTTGTTTGCGGCTGTTTAAAATGCTGCAGCTTCACTGCTCACAGATACTGTCCAATCACTCCTCTGTTCCAGTCACTCCATTAGCTTCCTGTGGAGTTCAAGGTTCAGTTTAAAATTCTCACCATCACCTACAGAGCGTTGCACGGCCAGACTCCCTCTTACATAGCAGATGTACTTCACACATCTGAACCCTCACGCAGATCCAGTAAGTCCAATCAGCTACTCGATCCCGACTAAAGACACGTGGGGACAGAGTGTTTCAGGTTGTAGCTCCGACATTTTGGAACACATTTTCTGCAATCTGTACGAGCTGTGGATTCAGTGACTTTTTAAAAAAAAAAAGCAGCCTAAAGCTTATAAGCAGAGTTTTAACATGTTTGTATGAGTTTTCATGTTGTCTTCTGAATGTTTTTATCATTTTAAAATGTTTTTGTATATGCTCTGTTGTGGTTTATTATGAAGTTTTATTGTGAAGCACAAAAAAGGCTATACAAGTAACATTACTTACTAAAYTACAAAAAGATGTGCATAATTCCATTTGAACCTTTTTATTTGTTTGTTTGTTAATTTTATCTGACCATGTACAGAAAAACATCAAACTCAAATTAAGTATTTAATGTTAAGAACTGAAATTAAAGCAGCTAAAATTGAAATTAAGAGTTGAAATCGCAACTTAAATGTTGAAACTTGTAAACAAAATTACATAATTTCCTTTCCATCATAGTAACATGTGTCAGTTTGAAACCTTCTGTCTCGGTAAAATAAAAAATGGTTGCTGTTAAATACTGAGTTTAGTAAATTGTACCACTCGTTCATCGTTCTCCTTATCAAACCCACTCTTTGCGTTTTTTTCAGTTCTTTAAATAAATTTGTTTACAACTGGGATAATTCACATTAATTAGCATTGACAAGGCAAGCAAATGTGTCAGATTTTAGTCGTCAGCTAATTGTTCTTTTTTTTTTTATAAAAGACGCGCACACACATATAAAGGAAACATATTTCACAACATTACTCAGAGAGCAACACATTAATTCTTAGGATTGTGGATAAATGGTCCACTTGCCTTGGGCTGCAGTACCTCAGTGGTCAGTGCCGCTGTCTCATAAACATGAGGCTGCAGGTTCGAGTCCAGGTTGCATCAGGAAGGATGTTTGGTGTCCTGCAGAAGAAAGCAGCCAAAAGAACAACTGTCCACACAACAACATTCAATTGATTGTTTTTTATTACAGTCCTGCTATAGTGCTTTTTAAAKGTTCCTGTTTGTAAACAAATTTATATCAATTTGTTAAAATCTGTTTCTTTTATGATTCTGATTTTAAAGTCACATCATCAGAATTTGCATTAAACTCACTGTTAATCAACACAGTCATACAGAATACAACATAATAAAGTATAAACAAAACCTGTTGCAGGCCTGAAGTGATGCTAGACATCAGAGAAAGTGTCCTCAGGTGAAACACCTGGTCAAAGTCCAGGTAGGATCCGGTCTCCCTCCCTCCGGGGGAGTACTCGTCTCTCAGCACCAATAACTACATACATTAAAAGCTTCCACATCGGAGCTACCGATCACCTCTTTTCACGTTAGCTTCTTTAGCTCCACGGCGGGTAAAAGTCAGCATCTGAGGCTAACAGTTAGCAAGCTAACGGGATAAAACACTCACTGAACAAAGAACGTGAAGCAGAAATGATTCCAGCGGCTCAAAACAAACACGTAGATCAGAAATCCTCACGGAGACAGAAGAGTAGAGTCCGAGACGTATATAAATCTTTAAAAAAAAAAAAAGAAATTATTTGAATTATACGCGACATAGCCAGTCAAGCTACCCTGGTTAAAAGAGGATCACTTCCGGAATCTTGGCCAATGAGAAACGAGGAATCCTCCCACTCCTAAAACTTCATTTTTTTCTTAGCTTTTCATAATAAAACAATTATAACTATGAGCGTGTTATCGACTCACCTGGTTATTTAATTATTTTTATTCCAATATAAAAACAAACAAACATTTTAAAAGCAACTCATACATGATGAAAAATGTCATTTGGGTCAATATTTAGACACAGACGTACAATAAGTAAAAAAAAAAAAAAAAAAAAAAAAAAAAAAAAAAAAAAAAAAAACTAAATTTTACACCTCCTACCCACTAAAGCCAAGACACATAAAGCGTTTCAAATAATGTTACACAATTACAAATATTGTAGCAGAGGCCATTTCGTGTCTATTTTGGTTACTCTGCTGTCCACACTCCGGCTCAGTAAGAGGCGAAAACACATCTTTCATTTGGTTTGTCAACCGTCATTAAAACGTAGAAGAAGAAGCCCGTTCAGCAAACATATTATGATGAACTACCAGTGGATTATGTTGATCAGAAATAGATTATAAGTATAGAAGAAAGTGGAAATGACAGCTGTCGGTGTCCATCGGCAGGAGGAAGTTGTTCAAAACCAAACAACTGGTGAGAAGAATTACAGATTTAAGGAGTAGCTTTACTACAGCCGGTGTTGACAAACTGTTAGCTTAGCTTAGCGCTGCTAAACTAACCGGCTTTACGGTGCTGTTAAYTGTTAGCTTAGCATAGCGCTGCTAAACTAAACTGCTTAGGATGAGGTTAACTAACTGCTTAGCATAACCCAGCTAAACTAACCGGCTTAAGGTGCTATCAACCACAACTATTAGCTTAGGACAGCCCTGCTATTTAAACGGCTTTACGGTGCTGTTAACTGTTAGCTTAGCTTAGCGCTGCTAAGGCACTCGGAATTTCTGATATGTGGGGTTTTGGGTGAATAAAACAAAGTTTTTATTTTCAGTTCAAAAATCTTTATAAAAAACAGTCAGTGTGTCTCCTGCAGATGTTCAGCAGCTGATGAAGGTTAAAGAAGAAGAGCTTCCTCATCTGTGCAGCTCTGGTCTGAACCAGCAGAACCCAGAACTCCTCCACGTAAAGCAGGAAGAGGAGACACTCTGGAGCAGACAGGGACGGCAGCTTCCTTTAAAGAGTGATGATTATGAGAAACCTCAGTTATTCCAGGTTCATCAGATCAAAACTGAAGATAACAGAGAGACAGAACCTCCAACCAGCAGCTCAGCTGAACACATGAAGACAGAAACTGATGGAGAGGACTGTGGAGGACCAGGTCCAGGAGGATCCCGAGCCAAATGGCAGTCAGGTTGGATGATAATATGTTTATGGTCCAGCATTGTATTTGTTTTTCAGTTTCAGACATGTCATGTTTAATCAGCAGTCACACTCTGTGATCTTTAATCTGTGCTGTAGAAACAGTTAGAGTCATTTCTGTTTGCTGCCATCTGATGAAGACTATGGTGGAGTAACCTAGACAAGTGATAATGATGCAGAAATTAAACATTAATCTGATTATTTTTAGCAGTTTATTTCTGCAAAACAATACTTCAGGAATAAATGAATAAATTTCAGTAAACATAGCTTCAGTAACATTTTGTAAAGCTGCACGTTTTTTTTAAATTAAAACATGAATCATGATTTTATTTCCCTGTGATCTGACATCAAAGTTTAAACACAATTCTTGCACTGAAGTAAATCAAGCTGTAAATAAACAATATTCAGTAACCAGAGAAATTGCATTTCCTGCGAAAATGCTAGTGTGAATGCTTCTTACAGAAAACGTAAGCTGAACACTGCTGAAACTTTTTAATAGCAGAAACGTTATTGCAAGTTCAAATTTTCATAGTTGAAAGAAGCAAAACAGCCTAACTTTGCGCAAAAAAGTAAAAAAAGCAAAAAATATAGTTGAAAATAGCTAAAATCAGCAGAAAACTTCTTTAAGATGCATAAATACCACAAATAAACAGAAAAAAGCTCAAACAGTAGAAAAAAGCAAAAAGAAGATCTATAGTTAAAAGCTAAAATTAGCATAAAATAAGCTAAATGTAGCAGCCACAAGTTGTAATTAGCACCCAAACAGTGGAAAAAAATGTAAATTTGGCTGAAAAAAATGCATAAATGTACAAAAAAGTGTCAACTTGTAGTTAAATAACTAAAACAGCGAAAATTGTAAGTAAAGTAGTTCAAAAGTAGCTGGGAATTCTTTAATTAGCATGAAGCATAATGAGCTTAAGGTTGCAGAACTTAGCAGAAAAAAGTTATATTAGCTACAAAAACTGTATTTTGCTTAAAAAGCTAACTGTAGCTAATAAAAGCTAAAAGTCTGCTTAAGTTGCAGCAAATAAATGCAAATAGCAGAATGCACCTGTAAGGAGCAGAATTAGCACAAATTAGGAAAAAAGGCACAAGAATAGCAGAACGAAGCTGAATTTTAGCTGAAATAGCAGAAAATAGCTAAAATTAGCAAAAATTAAGACGGGAGTTAAAAAGAGCAGTACCAGACCAAAAAGTGTAAGGGTCTGTAAAGGTTTAGAAACATTTTAAAGGATTTGAAGGATGTTGAAAACAGCTCCATTCATTTTCAATCGCAAATAAATGGCTACAAAAGTGAAATAAGCTGAAAAAGTAAAAATAGCTGAAATGCCAAAAGTCATAGCAGGATTGTCATAAATTAGCTGAACGTTTTGATATATGAATTGTTGAAATAGCACAAAAACTGTGGAATGAGTTAGATGCCAAAAATCCTACAGAATAGTGTGAATGCTATGAAGCATTTACACAAATAGTTTTTCATGAACATGATATAGTGTTTTAGATCTCAAACTAAAAACTAAAAAGCTCTTAAACATAACAGAATATTTAAAAACATTCTGTAGGGTGTCGATGCAGCTACTGCCTGAAAGTCAGTTGACATGAYGTCCTCCTGTCTCCTGCAGGTGATCTGCGGCTGTTGAAGGTTAAACAAGAAGAGGTTCCTCATCTGTGCAGCTCCGGTCTGGACCAGCAGAACCCAGAACTCCTCATCATAAAGAAGGAAGAGGAGGAACTCCAGTGCAGCGCTGAAGGAGAGCTGCTTCCTGTGAAGAGTGAAGATGATGCAAACACTCATTTACAGCCAAATACTGATGAAAAGGCTCCAGACTCTCCAGGGACTGAGGACAGCAACGATTATGTTCAGAATATCGATGATGATGATGGTTGGGACGAAAACATGTCAGATTCTAGAAATGAAAATGAAGACAGTGATGAAGACTGGAAGGAAACCAGTACACCAAGACCTCGTGTAAAAAGCAACGTGGGAGATAAAGTCACAAAGGAAGCCATCAGCTGCCCTCAGTGTCATAAACAGTTTGTTTACAAGCGATCTCTTCAGAAACACCTGACCTCTCATTCAGGTGAAAGCTCTTCCAGCTTGRCTGAGGAGAAACGGTCGAGAAAGAAGCAGACTGGAACCAGGTCTCACGAGAAACCATTTGGGTGTGACAAGTGTGGCAAACGATTCAGCAGTAAATACACTCTTAAAAATCATATGACAATCCACACCCGAGAGAAAACATTTACTTGTGATGATTGTGGGAAAATATTTCGATCTCATTTTCTTTTTCAGCTTCACATGAAACCGTACTGGAAAGAAATTACTTAGTCGGGATGATTGCTGTGCAATATTTAGAAATCGATGTAAATAATCTTAAACCTGTTTTTTGCTGCTTCTGCTTTATAGAATTATTTCCCTGAGTGTAGAAAACTTTGCCTTTACTGCTTTTTAATTTTTCGTGTTTTAAGAATTATTTCTACTCTTTGATTTGGAAAATGTTGACTGCGCGTGACTTTTGTTGTTAATAAACAGCATCAATCAAGAATAGAATGCCTTTATTGTCACTATATGCTCGTACAAGATTAAAAGACACTTTTTCCAGTGATATATATA